ATTCACACAATCTATATATAGTGCATTTTCATATAAAATAAATGCAAAAAAAATGGAAAAAAATATTGTGTCCGGAATTCAGAGGTAAGCTAATTTGTAAATATCAATCTTTTTGGGGGTTTGTATGTAATTATCCCTTTTTTTTATTTATTTTGGTTTTTCAACCACCAATAAATCCTTTGATTATCATGCGATTGGCATTATAATCTTGATTAAAAAGGATAGAAAATGATATGTTGCATTAAATATTTTTATTATATTGGGGTGTTTACATATATACCAGCTTTATGTATGTCACATTATACCAACCAAATCATTCATCTCACATAAAGACAAAACACAAGGTTGAAATGTGAAATATACTTCTTTTATGTGAACAAGTAATGTGACATGTATGTAAACATTGAAGTTTCAATGTAAACAATATGTAATTACAAAGGAATTGTGCGGTATATATGTAAATATTCATATTATATTTTTGCTATTTTTTAGAGATTTTAATTTATTTATTGCTTATTTATTGCTTTTTTGTAAATGGATTTTTTTTTTTGTGGAAATTATGGTATAATGCTTCTATTACATTTAGGGTTATAAATGAGTTGGGCCAAGTTTGAGTCATGAATATAGTTCGTCTTATGTGTGAACAAATAAGCTCGAGCTTGGCTTATGTTATTAAATGTATGCTCGCAAGAGCTTCACTAGTCAAACTAACTTGACCTCTCTCTCTCTCTATGAAAATAAGTTAGCATGTATATTGAGAAAGATGAACATCTCGAATGGAAGATACGGACAGTCAAACGAGGCTTTTGACAATTGTTTGGGTTGAATATTGGCGAAGGAGGTGTCTAATTCTAGCGATCAAGGAAACAGACCAAGAAATTTCCCCCAGAGTATAGGTCAACACGCAGAACGATCAACAAGAAACATCCATTTTTGAATTGACTGACAACAGACTCAAGACACGAAGAACGACCAACGAGTTTCCTATCGACCGAATCAATCCTCATGTCATATTACATGTGGATATTTTGTAATTACCTAAAGGTCCATCTAAAAGGCTAATGACATGTAATTTGTAGAATATGAATCAATTTCTTTAAATAGATAGCCAATGTCATGAATAAATGTTACGTGTTTTTTTGTTGTTTTTACTACCACTACTCTCTCTCTCTCTCTAACATTTTATATCTCGAGCATATTTGTTTCATTATTTGTTTGACATTCAAGCAACATGTTGCATTCCACTTTTATTTTTCTCATGGTGCATATCTAACCCTCAAAATTTTATATCTATATTTATAATCTTTTGATATCATAAATTTATATATGATATATTATATTTCACTTTTAATCATTATATTATTGATATGATAATAAAAGCTTGAGTAATATGCATGTAAATATAAATATTTAAATATTCGATTTGTGTGGTATGGAACTAAATGCACACGTGCGGGCGGGCATCAAGCGCGTGATCAGAAGCTGTGTATCACGTGAGCCGCAACCTCTTTTAACCCAAACCGCGACGGCTACCGTCGCATCGATTCCAGCATGCTCTCCACCGCCAGCAGAAAGACTAAAACGGCGGCGAAGCCATCGGGAACTCCATTTTCAACAACATCACCGTGCGGGGCATGCAAGTTTCTCCGGCGAAAGTGTGCTGCGGGTTGTGTTTTTGCGGCGCACTTCGGGCGAGAGCAGGTGTCGTCGCCGGCGAGATTTGCGGCGGTGCATAAAGTTTTTGGCGCACGCAATGTTTCTAAGTTTTTGAAGCTGGTGCCGCCGGACCACCGTCGCGAGGCTGTTGTCACTGTTTGCTATGAGGCGCAGGCTCGACTCTGCGATCCTGTGCTCGGATGCGTCGGCACTATCATCGCCCTCCACCACCAGGTGATCTTCCAGCACCACTGGTATTATAACCCCAGAAACTACATAATCTATTTTCACGTGTGAAATAAGTTGTTGTATATGCATCAATAACTCATAGTGAAATATATTCAGTTTAAATTTTTTTCTTATCAGATTTTTTTCACGTAAAAATTTATGATGTTCTTACTGATTTCTCTTATTTTCATTTGAATTTATGTTGGATTCTCGTACATCGCAGGCTAAACTAATAATTCGTTACTTTATCAATGTGAATTTTCTAGAAAGCATCAATTACTATTATTTAAGAAATGCATAGTTTAAATCATAAAAGATTAGTAATTACTTTAAAAAATAATAAAATTTAATATTTTTTTTAGTTTAAATAATTTAACAATTGGGTTGCCCCTCGATATATTTTTTTTGTCAATATTTAAAAAAAATTAAATATTTGATAATTTTATCTAACTAAAAATAATGTTGATTACACCCCTACCAATAGCATATCAAAATTTAACTAGATATATAATAATTATTATGCCAAATAAATTTTTAATATTTATTACTCTAAAAAATTTCTCATATTTTAATCCCACTTGACTTAAATTCAACTTATTTTTCTAAATAATATATTAAAAAAAAGGGAAAAAAAGACATTCTTTACTCATCTCCGGCTTTGCTTTCTAGATGAATCAATAAGCAATGGACTCATAAACCAAGCATGACCACCAAACATCCATCAACCTAACAAATCTCACACGCTTATTAATTCACACAATCCAGCTCTTCTCCAACCCATGCAATAAACCATTTCTACTTGACACTGCAACAACAACAACAACAACATGTCCCGATAACAAAAAAGTCCACATTTTGTAAATTCTCTTCTTCTCTCTGAACTTCCTCTGTCATGCAAGGTTGCGCAACTTCAAACTGAGCTCTCCATCGTTCAGTCTCAGCTAATAAACAGCAGGTTGGCGGCTGCAGCGGCGACGGCGGCGGCCGGAGTGTTTCGTTACTCCGAAACACAGCAGCAACTGGTGGCAATTCATCCAACTTACTCCACCTCTTCAGTTTCCAATAACTTCAACTTCAGTAGTTTTCCTTCTTCAGTTTTTGACGTCTGTGATTCTCACAGTTTGGAGCAGTGATGGGGAAAAGCTGGAAGGCAGTATTGTTCAGAATCCGGAAGGTTTCCGCAGTCAGATTTTTCAGCCCGAGCAGCATTCAATGTTATGAGAAATCAATAAGAGAACGATGTATGAGCAATGAAAGTATATTTTATCATAGTCATTATTTTACAATAAGAACTTGTGTTTTGTGCTAATTAATGTTTACTGCCGATCTTAATATATTAATTGAAAAGGATTAAACTAAAATCACAATTAATATTACATTGATTTGCTATAAGAAAATCTTTCAATCTAAGGTGAAAAAAATATGTAGAAGTATATTACTTTTGTTGCTCTTTAAAGATAGTACTCATTGTGTTAGAAAGCTAAGAAATTGACAAACTTTAAATATGTTTGATATCAAGAGGCTTGATCATAACACACTTGTATATTAGATGTAAAATTCAAAGACAATTAACTATATCAATTATGACTCATCGGTCCCTAAATCCATAGTTATACGAACCGAAGATTATTGACAACTCAAATTTTCTCGAAAAAAACAAGAAGAATAAATTATTGGATAAACGTTGATACTTTTATACCGTCAGAATATAAGTCAGTTTTTGAATTGCACCCATGAGCTTAAAATTGTCAGTAAACCGTCAATAATACTAAACGATGGTTTACCTTATTATAATCGATAGATTGTAGCCGTCGGAAAAAGTCTAAATTTCTGTAGTGATAATTTGTTGTCGGCAATGGCACATGATGTCAATACTCCAATTTTGTGGTGATGTTTATAGTTACGAACAAAAAATAACAAGCCGTTATTGCATTTCATCAATCGATAGAGAATGTTAATAAACAAGGTGTAACACTTAATATTTTAATATGTATTTCTAATTGGTAATATAGTATTGCTAATACTTTTGCTATTATTTCTTATCGCTTTAGGTTGCATGTGATTTATAATAAACATCCAACTTATGTTTCATTAACATTATTTAACATTCTTCGTAAAATACCATATTATCATTAAAATTATAATTATAATAAAAATTATTTTATTTAGAAAAAAATCATAATAAATTTAAAAATAGAATTAACAAATGAATAATTAGACTTTTTTGTATAGATCGTAGGGACATTAATTCAGGTCAGCAGGTCGGGTTCGAGTTCGACCCGACTCGACACAGACACGGTTAACCCAATTCTGACCCGTTTAACTTGTCAACCCTATTTTTTTTATTAAAAATTATACTTTTAATATTTAAAAGGTAACAATAGTCGAGCAATAATATAAGAGTTAAGAGTACAATTAAAATTTTTATCTTTATTCGGGTTATGTAAGGGCTTTCGGGTTCAACACGAATCCGATTCAAAATTTTCACGTGTCAAATTTTCAGACTCGAGTTAGCTTAAAAAATATTTGAGTCAATCCTCCCAAAAATCGAGGACTTGATTGAACTCTTTGGTGTAGACCAATTTTTGACACCCTAACATTTCACCGAGACTCCTCTTTCTTCTCGGTCGCTACTTTCCCTCTTTCCTCGCAGATCGAGGAAGGAGGAGGAGATGTCGACGCCGGCGAGGAAGCGATTGATGAGGGATTTCAAGAGGCTGCATCAAGATCCGCCGGCGGGCATCAGTGGCGCTCCTCTCGACAACAATATCATGTTCTGGAACGCTGTGATCTTTGGGTAGGTCTTCTTGATCTATCTGCTTCTCAAATTTTGCTTTCAGCTGTTTTGATTTGAGTTTATTTTTGTTTTCTGGAATGGATTTGCAGGCCTGATGATACGCCATGGGATGGAGGTTAGTGAATCAATTCCATCTGTCCTGCTTTAGCCCTTTGGTTTAGATGTTGGGTTTGGGTTTGGGTTTGGAATCTTTGATTACCTTCCCTTTCTATGTGAGATTTTTCGAAAAGAATCGATACGATAAGAATTGATTTGGTCATGAATTCTTCTTTTCTGTGAGTAATTACAGGTTTGGAGCTAAGGATCTTAATGGATGTATGAATTCTATCCCCCTAACAGTAATTTTTGGAGTGTGGATGTCTTGATTATGATTTGCTTGTTCTTATTTTTGCTGTTGGAAGACGAGGAGTGGCTGATGTTTCTTTACTGGAGTGGAGATTTGAACTTTTTAGTTAATTTTGTAGTTATTTGTAGCTAATCAATGCTTATGATTGTTAACAGAAGTGGTTTAGAGAATTTATGAGTTCAATTTGTTGAACTGATTCAGGATTTTGATGGTCTTATAGTAATAAACATCTCACCCTTTAATTTGGATATAAGTTCTGTAATGGAAATGATTACTCAGTTAAGGAATTGTTATTGGTTGATTATAAATCTGGCACTGAATTTGTATTTAGCTTATTAGATCTAAGCAGTGATGAATGATTGTGGAGACTACTGAAGTTCCTGTCAAAATTTACCTATTTTGGGGCATTTACATGCATAAGGCCCAATTCCTATGTATCTGCATATCTAGCACCTAAACTTTACTGTTTACATTTACCCCCCAAATCTTTCGTATCACATCAAAAATACTACTACTTTAGCTTTTGAAAAGCAAAATATACTTATACAGGCATGGATAAGGCGGCATATATGTAAAAATTGAAGTTTGGGTGATAGATATGTAAATCCATAGAAATTATGTGGCACATATGTAAATCTTCCTTGTTTTTTATTTGTTCCTTTGCTTCCTTAGATCTTTCATGTGATGTTGCTGTGAATCTCTTTTGTATTAGGGACGTTTAAGCTCACACTACAGTTCGCTGAGGATTATCCAAACAAACCTCCAATTGTTCGCTTCGTTTCGAGAATGTTTCATCCAAACAGTAAGTTTTAGTGTGAAGTTTCTGACATAAGCTGTGTTTTCTTCAACTTGATTGCCTTTTGCATTATCTTGTTGAGTTATAATCCTTACTAGTTTATAAGTAACAAAACCATTATGTTAACTTAGTTATGTGAAGTCTTCAAATTGAAATTATAGCTATATTTATCTAATCAAATCTTCTTATTCAATATTGTCTTTTTAAGGGACATTTACATACCTCACACAATATGGTGCTTTAAACCTATGCATGAAAAACCGTATATGACTTTTAAAAAGCGGTATTAGTGCTATTTTTGCTGTGGTATTAAGGAGTTGAGTGCAATGTGTGTAAATATGAAAGTTCGGGTTTTGAGTTATGTAAATTCATAAGTATTGTGTGCTAAACTTATGTATTACGTAAATACATAAGTTTAGGTTTTAAAAAGTATTTACATACCTCACACAAATGCATCATAAGAGTATTTATTTCATGATCAATTATTCAAGTTGACAGAGTTTGGGGTCTCTTTATAACAGTATATGCAGATGGGAGCATTTGCTTGGACATTTTACAAAATCAGTGGAGTCCAATTTACGATGTTGCGGCTATATTGACTTCTATTCAGGTATACTTTTTACAAGGGTTTACGTACAACAACAACAAAACCTTTATCCCACTAAGTGGGATCGGCTGCATGAATCTTTTTTCTTCACTGCATCCTATTTAGTGTCATATTTTTATTTAATTCTAATAATTAAGATCATGTTTTATACAATATACCCAAGTTTTCCTAGGTCTACCTCTGCCTTTCTTAACATAAGTTGAATCTAAAACACCTACTCTTCTAATCGGATCATCAAATGGTTGACGTTTAATGTGACCAAACCATCTAAGACAACTCTCTCTAATTTTGTCCGTCATTGGAGCTATACCAACCCTATCACAGATATATTCATTTCACATTCTGTCTCTAAGTGTAAAGCCACTCATCCACCTAATCATTTTCATCTTGGCAACACTAACTTAGTTTTATGCTTCTCTTTTACAGGGATTTATCTACGTGCCACAAAATTCTTATTTGTTTACATATCTCGCAACTAAATTTCAATAGTTACTTATGTAACACTTTAGTGTCACCTGCATGAAAATGTGTTTTAAAAAATTAATATTAGTGATATTTTATTCCATGCTAAAGATTTGGGTGTTATGTTAAGTAAATGTTGAAGTTTAGATATTGGATATGCAAATGCATAATAATTGTTTGGTATATTTGTAAATTCCGCTATTTTTTTATTATTCGTGTGCAGCTCCAGAGAAAGATCGAAGTCATTCATGTCATTCTTTCCAAACGATATTGTATAGAAGATCATTAAGTCAGCATTATACATAACTAATGAGTGTGACATAATTGCATGTATAGTTAGATTAACAGATTTTTAAACCTTTGAATCATGGTATTAGGGCTTGTTTGGGATCATTTTTATTTTTTTTATTTGTTAATATTTTTGCTTTTATTTTAAAAAATATGTTTGTTTGGTACATTTTTCAAGCCTTTTTATTTTTTTATTTTTAAGCCTTTTTATTTTTTATTTTTAGAAACAATTTAACTTATGATGATGACGATGATAAGTTAAGGCCAATAATGATGACAATGATGATATGTATATATATATATATAATAATAGCAATATTATTATTATTTTTATTCTGGATCTTCAGGAAGAGTAAAATGCGTGTGCATTTAGGCATCCATTATGCTCCACAAATTAGCAGTAATGGAACCATAATTGAATCAGCTCCAGCTGTTCTAATTATTGAGAAGATATAATAGCATGGCATTGTCACGCTTTTTGTTTGTATTCTGCTGTCAATCATTAGAAAATCTGACAGTAAAACCCTTATAATTTTACATTCACTCAGCCAAACACCAACTAACTGCATTCTGTCTCACTTGTTTGAATCTAAAAAAGCTTTTTCCTTTTTTTTTTTCTTTTTTTTTGTAAATTTACATACCACCTAATTCTTATGTATTACATATCCAACAACCAATTTTTGATATTTACACTTATCACACATTGATGTCATAAAACTATGCATGAAAAGGTGTATTTTGTGCTTTTAAAAATTGTGGGGTATGTAAATGCTCCTTTTTTTGACTTGGTAATTTCGAGGCTGAAACTATGATTTGTTTTGTTTTGTTTTTCCAATCAGTCTCTTCTCTGCGACCCAAATCCGAACTCGCCGGCGAACTCCGAGGCGGCACGCATGTTCAGCGAGAACAAGCGGGAGTACAATAGGAGAGTTCGGAGCGTTGTCGAGCAAAGCTGGACGGCTGATTGAAGAAGCCAGCTGCTTCTGCAACTACAGGCAAATGCTGTTCTTATTACTATTATACAGTGTTCTTGCTGCTCCTGTTAGATTTATCCTTCAATTTTCTTTGTGATAACTATCATTATCTGCTCATCTCTATGGTGTGTGAATTTATGAATTCTAAGCTTATATATAGTCTATCTCTCTTGTTTTATAAGCATTTTTATTTCGGCTGAATGGAAGATGACTAGTATAAATGGGTGCATTTTCATATCTCACACCTCTACTTTTTAACATTTGCAACACCTGAATCTTACATATCACATCACATAAAAAATGATAAAAAATGCAACCATTTTAACTTTTAAAAAGTGAAATACACCTTTTCATGTGTAGGATACCGCATGTAAAAATCGAAGTTTAGGTTTTAGATATGTAAATACGTGAGGATTGAGTGGTATGTTTGTAAATCTTCCAAAATGGTTATGAAAATTCATATAGGGCTCTGTGAATGGTAACTATGTTATTTACATATGCATTCTATATTAATAAACTAGTATAAATCTTGAGATTGAATGATGTTAAATATTAGACATGTCAAACACCATGTTTTTGTATTATTTTTTTATATAATGTAGTTATAGGTATATGTAGAAAGAAAATCAAAATAAGAGTTGTATAGTTTAGGGTTTGTGATTGAATCTTGTGATTGCATGATTCATAACCTAGACATGCCAAACATTTATATTTTATAATTGGGGCGATTTTGGCACCCAAAACATTGCTATTTACAAATCAAGCACCCTCTTTTATGCATTTTTCAAATTCTCACTCAAATATCAAAGGTCATGATAAAACCCCAATACACATTTCTCATTTTTTATCAAATTCAAAATAGTTTGACCGTGGCATGCGCAAATGCAACGATTTTATGCGTCAAAAAATTACCTAGGTGCTTGATTTGTAAATATCAATATTTCTTGTCCTATGCATGTGATTATCCCTTTATAATTTAGCTATATGTTTGAATCATTGAAATGATATATAATCTTGTTAGGCTTAATTAAAACCTTATGATATATTGAACTTTATAACAAAAACAATTAACAAATTTGAGTAGTATTTTAAAATTTGTACTCAACCCTAAACACTTGAGAAAAGGTGACAAATTCATCCTCAAATCCTTTAATCCAAGAGAAGACACAACTGAGAACTTCCAAGCTTTGTGTTGGTCTGCTAGAGTTCCAAGCCTTAGGGGCGCCTAATGATTTTTTATTTGCCGTATTTATAGACATGCCAGCCAATTCTTGTGTATTTATATACCCAACACCTGAATTTTGCCTTTTTACATTTATACCACCCAAATCATGCATGTCCCATAAAAAAATACCAGCATTTTAACTTTTAAAAAGTTAAATAAAACTTTGCATGCATACACAAGATGGTATGCACCTAAAAATTGAATTTTAGCTGTTGGATATGTAGGGGTGTAAACAAGCCAAACACGAGCGAGCTGAGGCTCAACACGAGTGAGCTGAGGCTCAACTCGTGTTCGGCTCGTTTATATTTCGAGCTCAAAAAGTGTGTTCATGTTCGGCTCGTTTGCTTAGTGAGCCGAACACTAGTTGTTTACGAATAGAGTCGTTTTGACAATCCTAATCACGTAGCCATAAGAGGTTAAGAGCCGGGGCAAGATTTAAAATTATTGTTTATATTAAAACATCATTTGAATCTAATTTAATAATTTTTATTCTATTTTATTATATTATTATTATTTTGAAAGGTTTTAGGGGTTATTTTTGAGGGAATATTGCGCCACTCTTTGAGAATGATATGCCATCTTTCTGATAGTATAATAATTCACAGGGCTTGCTTTATTTCGCCTCCTGATTAATTAATCCATATAACTCATGGTTTCCTAGCAATTGAATTTAAATTTATTTATATTTTGAGAACCTTTCTTTCCTTTCAATCTTACAAAAAGAGCAATCGTAACCTTTTTCTCATTCCAATCTCAAGTCGTGATCATAAATTTACATAAATTCGATGTAATTCTTTACCCATTTACGTATCTAAATTTACATAAATTCGATCATAAATTTACATAAATTTGTCATAAGTTGGGGCGTTTACATATATACCATCCAATTCTCATGTATTTACATATCTAATATCTAAAATCTAAAGTTCGCTTTTTTTTACATTTATACAATCAAAATATTTCCATAAAAAAATACCATTAAGTTAACTATTTAAAAAAGTGCAATACACATTTTCATGATAAGGTAAGGTAATAAGGTAAGGTAGTATATATCTATAAGGTAGTATATATCTATATATATATATATCAGAATTGAGTGGTATGCATGTAAATCTTCCTCATCATAAAAGACGTGATTTGACCACCACTTTCTGCAGAATGGAGCAAGTTTTATATCACAAATCAGGCTGTTTTGCAAGCAAATGAAAGTAAAAATAGCCAAAAATAATGCCAATAATGAACCAATAAAAGGTAATTAATATAGGAACATCAATAGTTTATTAAAATTGGAGAATAAAGATGTTCAAAATTCATACAAACTAGTTTACTTGATTTCTAAAGAATCACATGTAGCAGGAACATTTAATTTTACCAATATATTTTGCAAGTCCAATTCCTTAACTAGTTTTCCATACTAATAGTGTAGCATGCAACTCAATTCCCGTGTATTTACATATCTAACATCTAGACTTCAACTTCTACATATACATCACCTTACCAATACATGAAAAATGTGTAATTCACCTTTTAAAAGTTTTAAAAAATGGTATTTTTTATGTAAAACATATAGTTTGTAGGACAGATTACGAATTCAGATTGCATCTTAAGTTAAATTAACATTAATCCATTAGAAGAACAAAATAGTGTATCGACATAACAGTGCTCTATATATGCCAAGCACCATAAGACTATGGAAAATGAATAATTTTATCAAAGAAAAAGAAAAAAAAACTGATTGTTGAAACTACAGGGACCAGGGTGAAAAATGTACACAGCATATATTGGTGAAGGAACGAAGAAGTCAAGAACCTGTAGGGTTTCCTCAAATGGAGGGCAAGTCATTGAAAACAATTGAGTATTTGGTTCAAGCATCAATAATAATCTGGGGTCCCATGTATTCTATTCCGACCATCTTCAAATCTTTAGGGGTCTCAATTTCCTCTAACCAGCAAAAGGAATCATCACCCCTTCCATTCCCAGCATAGTTACCATCTGCAGAAATTTAGAATCAAAGGATGAGCCCACACAGTCATTAAATGCAAATTATCATTTTTTTTCTATGGCAAGCACGAATTCTAAACTATCAATAACTACGGGTACCTTTTCATTAATCTACAACTATTTTGGCCCTTCACAAATGGTCGGGAAATCATTTTGGCCCTTTGCAAATTGTTGGGAGATCATTTTGGAGCTTTTCTCTATACAAATTACAACTTTTTCGTGTTAAGTGCATTTGATACATGTGAATTTATATGGCATTTTAAATAATGTTACATTGATTGATGTGAACATTCATGAAAACAGCTTGATTAAACGCAAGTTATAGTGTAGTGCAATGTAACAATGCATGCCTAAGACATGGAAACCTGCAACATCAACATACATGACCTTGGTAGTAAGTTCAGTGATGATGAAAAGGTACTTTTAATATCAGTTATATTAATAATGTAGGTGTGCATGCATTAAGATAATACTGCATTAGAAAGAACGGCAAACTAATAACATACTAGATTTTATGTGTTGAATTCAAATTTGTCAGATAGATCGTGCCCAAGGAATAGAGTGTTGGACCGAGGAGAGTTGATTGAGTGGGGGAGAAATAAGAGAGGAGAGACAATAGGACTTTTCCCGGCCGGAGGGAAATAGAGTGTTCCTGGGCTTGTGGACCAAGTTTATTCCATAAAATTAGATGTTACAAATGAGGGGTGCCCACAAAAAAGAGCCCCCCCACCCCATGACGCCTACATCATGAAGCCCTCCTATTATTGAAGATAGAAGGGGTAGAAGGTAAAAAAATTACATATTTAGCTATGTTTTTGAAGAAAGAAGCAAAAGATATTTTAGTCATTTTATTTCGACCATTGGATCGTCTCAAGATCGATGTAAAATTTCATGTTCATGTTTGTCGACCGACTAAAGTGAGGTGACCGAGAGAGAGATTTTGGTCGGTCGATTGAAGTGAGATGGCCGAGGGAAAGAACTTGGTCGACCGACTAAAACGAGATGGCCGACTATTGGATTGCCTCGAGATCCATGTAGACCACTTTTTAGTATATATATTAAGTTTTCTAATTTTCTTGCTCATTTATAGTGACAACTACAATAAGCATAAGAAAATTTATAAATCAAACAAGCATTGAATATGTAATTTACTAATGATATTCCATGTTAGGCGCTTTTCGTATTTAATTTTGGTATCTTTGTCGTCATATGCTAAGTCTGTCATTCTGGCGTTTTTCCTGTTAGAAGGAAGTTGTCGTGCTCTGATGGTCGGTTGGAGGGAAAGTCAGTCGCTACAGGAAAAGTTGGCCTTCGAAGGAAAAGTCCAAGCATTGCTCGCCACGGAGGAGAGTCTTGTAGTTGTTCGCCCCGGAAGGGAGTCTTGTATGTGCTGGAGCAGAGTTTCGAAGTTGTACACCTCTCGAGGAGCATGTTGTTGTCGGGTGTTCACTTTATGATTTGGGAGCATAACGATCGTTTTTGCACTCATCACGGAGCTTTTCATTGTCGTGTGTAGATACATCCCACAGGCTTCTGGCGATTATTAGACACCCCTCGTGGAGCTTGTCCCTACCGGTGCAACTTTATAATTTGGGCAAAAGACAATTGTTTAAGCACCCCTCGAAGAGCTCGTCGTTGTCGGGTGTCAAAATGTCCCATAGGCCTCTGACTATCGTTAGACGCCCCTTGCGGAGCTTGTCATTGTCGGGTGCTAACTTTATAATTTGGGCACAAGACGATCGTTTACACACCCATCGCGAAGTTTGTCGTTGTCGGGTGTTGATACAGCCCATAGGCCTCTGTTACTAATCACAAACACTCTTGGCATCATTGTTGGTGTTTGTTATGCCTTTGACCGATCAGACGTTCTTAGCGTCGTTATCGACTGTTTCTCATACTTCTGACCTATCAGATGCTCTTGCCGTCGTCGGTTTTTCTACCCGGGTTGGAGTTCCCCGAGTGCTGGAAACAAATGATTTGATAAGTATACATATAAAAGTATGTAGAAATTGAGTGGTATATAAAAATATGTAAGAATCGAGTCTTATGTAAATTTTCCCTGTTTGGAAATGGTTGGTCGTAGGTGGAGGCATTGGGAACAGCCGATTTGATGATCGTTTGTTAAAATAATGATTCTCTTCAAAGGATGCTACAAAAATATTGACAATCTTAAATGGTGACCGTAAAAAAGTCATACTTAAATGGTGTCACGAATTAGTGGCGGTTGGTTATAAGTTAAAAAGATTAACTCGTCACTCTATAAATCCATGCAACTCTTAATTGTAATATGTCACACAATTGTAAATACAAAAAGAGGATAAAAGTGAAGAGAGCGAGAGGTTTTTACAATATAATTTCTACACAAACTGAATGATAACTTAATGGTCGCTAGCTATAAACTTAATGAAAAATAAAGGGGATAACCTTATTGAATGAGTGTTACACTACGCTTAGACTGTAGTTACAAAAATTAGAATTTGAAGGTACATTTAAGTGACTTTTATGGTCCCTACCAATGATAACATTTCATTTGTAATTAAAATAATTCATCGATATATATATATATATATATATATATTTATTTATATATATAAAAGAATTGGGCGACATGTATGAAAAAATATAAAAATAAGAATTGAGTTTTGCGCATGCATATAAGATTTTTTGTTTCTTCCTCGGTTTCGAGTTGGAGCATAGTAGGCAGCCGAGTGGTTGGTCAGGGTGATCGAGCAGCAGTTGATTGGAGGGTGTTGTCGGGTGTCGGTTTGGACAAATAAAGCGGTACATTTGATAGCTTCGGATATGAGATTTTCATAGTTTTGGATAGAGGCAAAGCGATCACAGATGGATTGAGACGGCCAATACTCGTGGCGTCCGACAGGAGAAATGTCAGTCATAGGGTGATTTGTTGGAAGCATTTATAAGATTTGAGTAGTATGCAAGAAAACATATAAATATGCAAGAATTAAGTGGTATATATAAGTCTTCCCCATTTCAGAGGCGGTCGACCAACGGGTGTCCGACTGGAGCAGAGGTGTGCGCTTGGCAATGTGGCCAGAGAAGTGCTAAAGTCAATTGACAAATACATAGCAGAGCGTTGATCGACTAATTAGCCCGAATTTAACTTGGATTTTACCAAACACTCATGTTTTGAAAACCTAAAGCCTCGGATTTGTAAATCTTGTATCGGTGCTCCATTGTCTTAGATAAAAGTGGAACGGTCGGAGGTAGGTCGCTAGGAAGATAGGTTGAGCAAATTACACACACACGCGCGCGCACGCACACACACACACACACATGTGTGTGTGTGTAAGGATGGAGTAGTATGTAGTCCGGTCGGCGAGATGAAGTGCGGTCAATGAAATTCGGGCAGCGGTGAGAACCCCACTTGCGTCAAAAGTGAGATGTGGAAATGGAGTTTGTTGTTAGAGAAGAATAGTAGAATGGAGTAAGTGAAAAAGAGAGAGAGAGAGAGAGAGAGAGAGAGAGAGGGCGTGCGAAAGTGAAGGTCTCGGTTGGAGGTGATGGAGATAAAGCTCATAGCTTGAGAGGCAATGAGGATTGAAAGTGTGGGCTACAACTGTTTCTACTAGATCTATGGAGAAATGCAGAGAAAGAGATGAGGTTTCTAAAAGATTGTCGGAGATGAGGAGTAAAGAAAGTGGATTCGCTTTTACGCAAGTTCCCCTTATGTGTTCTTTGTTACGAGTTTGTCTCTGAAGAGTTTTCTCTTGGTGTTAGCTCGTCTTCTTGTTCATATCACGATCCACACTAACTGCAACTTTTAGAATGTTGAATCCAAATATGTCTGATAGATCATGCCTAACAAATTGAGTATTGGACCGATGAGAGGTGATCGAGAGTGGAGAGAGAGAATAGGACTTCCCCCGACCGGGGGAAATGGGGTGTTCCCCGGGCTCATGGACCCATTTAATTCCATAAATTAGATATTACAAAAGAGGGGTGCCTCAAAAAAGGTCCACCTTCTTTTACATCATAAAACCCTTCTATTTATAGAAGATAGGAGGGTAGAAGGTACAAAAAATTAAATAATTGGCCAAGCTTTTGAAGTGAGAAGTAAAGGGCACTTTAGTCCTTTTTATTTTAACCGTTGGATCGTCTCGAAATCTGTGCAGACTTTTATGTCCATGTTTGTCGACCGACTGAAGCGAGGTGGCCGAAGGAGAGAACTTGGTCGGTCAACTGAAGTGAGGTGGCCGAGAGATAGAGCTTAGTCGTCCGACTTGAGGTGGCACACTACTGGATTCCCTTGAGATCCGTGCAGAGTATATAATACAATATAAACAATATACATGAATACACGAAATTGAACCCCAAAGAAAAAAAAGTAAATATTTTTAAAGTTCATTAATTGTCCATTGAGAAGAGTCGTGGAGGCTCGAAGGAATTAACGGGAATGCAAATACATATTACCTCATAATTTCATATTGTGTTTGGTTTTAATGTAATTAATAAAAAAAATTGAATGTATCTTAACACTGTGAACAAATACATTTTTCATCTTTTACAATTTCATACCAAATCCTAGCAAAAAATCGAAAAAATAAAATTGGATACTCTTGTAACTCATCCCCCCCCCCCACAAAAAAACAAAAGCTCAATCTTTCATTAACCAAATAAGAAATAAAGCTTTCCACTCAATTTCTCCTCAACCAAGCAAATGGATGAAAGATAGGTTCCATTCAATTCCTTTACCATTTTTCTTTCAATTCATTTTCATTTACAAGCTTGCAATTTCTTCAAACTAAACAGAGCGTTTTAACTTTGAGGTATTTACAAACATACCATTCTCAATTCCTATGTATTTAAACATACCATTCAATTCCTATGTATTTACATATATAACACCTAAATGTTACTTTTTACATTTATAATGCCCAAATCTTTCATATAACCTAAAAAATACCACCATTGTAAGTTTTAAAAAGTGAAATACACTTATTCATGTATAATTAACGTACCACTTATGTAAAAATTGAAGTTTGGGCGTTATAGTAAAAATTGAAGTTTGGGCAGTTTGGGCGTTATATATGTAAATGCATAGGAATTGAGTGGTATGTATGTATGTATGTAAATCTTCCTTTTTAACTTATTCTCCTACATGTCATTTCATACAATTAAAATAGTATCTTATAGCCATGAACATCACCCGATACTGTATTTAAGTGCAAGCTACTATTGCAATATCACATAATGCAAGCAATCATCAATACATACCTGTGACATCAACATATGAATAATCCCTGTAATAAGTGCAGTCGCGATCATCTTCTATCGAATAGGGAGGCCCAAGGATATCAAGCACCGCACATGGGGTAATGGAACGAAAAGTGTGGATGTTTCCTCCAGTTGTGGGATACAGAATGGAAGTTTCACAAGGTGCAGTAAAATCAGAATCCTCAACTATTTTTGCAAGTTTACCTGAAAAATTAAGCATCCCTTGTTATAAAAGACAGAAATGGCCATACAGAAATGCATAAATTGGCATTTAAGACAAGGTAAAATCAGCTATCAGATTATCCAATTAGTAACCACTTGCATTTTGCCGACGGTGCATTTTTATCTGGTTTGTAATCACCAACCCAATCACATGATTTTATATGCATCGTTCCCAGGAGTAATTTGCTGAAAACAGTCATCCCTGGATGATTATGCAGAGGGATAACTGCGGTCGGTGGAAGAAAGAATATACACATCTGCAAGATAGAAAAGAAACACAATTTAATTAATTAAGTTTAGATTGGGCTTGTGTCTCGAAACCATCAACTGTTACCCCCAATGACTGAAAAAAATAAGAATATAAAAAGGAAAATTTTCCGTGACAATAAGACAAAGGAAGATTTACATGCATATCACTCAATTCCTACGTCTTTACATATCTAACACCTAAACTTCAATTTTTACATACATGTCTCCTTACCTATGTATAAAACGGTATAATTCACATTTTAAAAGTTAAAATGATGGCCTTCTTAATGTGATATGAAAGATTTGGGTGTGATATGAAAGATTTGGGTGGGGTATAAATGTAAATATTAAAGTTTAGATGCTAGATATGTAAATACATAGGAATTGGGTGGTACATGTAAATGCCCCTAAGATAAATGGAGAACGAACAAGAAAGTACAATGCAACAATAATGCTTTTTATAACCACAAAATTTCCTACACAGATTTTACATGTACTCACAACACTTCGCTGTATAGATTCAATTTTGTCAAGCGTGCCCAACGGTTAACAATAAAATGTTTTCTTTCCGTGCACATGCGGATGCAGAATAAAGGTAAAGTGAGATTATTAAAAATGAGAATGAACTACATTCACACAAGCAATGTAGCTAGGCGCTCATGCACCTTACGGTACAATCCAATAGTAAGCAGGATCATGCATTTTTCATAGTTTTGAACAGAAGTAAGAAATATTATTTTCGCAGCATTATCCATTTTTTTAATGCAAAACCAACATAAATTATGTACCACCACAAAATATTCCTATGCTGTTTCTCCGTGTGTTTTCCAAAATAGTACTGCAAAGAGTTCAAGGATCAACTGAACAAATTGCAAAATCATACCGAGAACTTATCGCAGTTGTATAGATTTGTATAAGTTATAATTGGGGGTTCCTTAGTTCTCCTTCCCTTGAAGAAGAGAAGATCTGTGCTTAAACCAACATCCTCTGGCTTCAGGTTATCTGTAAAAGAGAGGTAATCAAAGCTCAAAATTTCAACGACAGATATAGTAACTAAGCTTGGGAACTGAAAGCAATGTTCCTGAAAGTAACGCAGCATTGCACAAAAAGAACAGAACCTGATGGCAAACCTTTGAAGTGCATTACATTATGCTTATGATATTAGTTGAAATTTATTAGCATTAGTTATTTTGGTGTCTTCAAAGCATATCACGGCGAATGTTGCCAATTATAAGAAAATCACACGCTGATGGCCTCGCCCATGCCCATAGATGATTGGCACACTTGTGCAATGGTCATGCCATATGAGGTTAAAAGTACTAATATTGTTAAATAAGAAATGAAAGGAGTGGCAATTTATGTGCTGAATAAAAGAAAAAGAAAATTTACATATATATCACTTAATTCCTATGCATTTACATATCCAACACCTAAACTTCAATTTTTACATATATTCCACATTGCCTATGCATAAAAAGGTGTATTTCACTTTTAAAAAGTTAAAATAGTAGTATTTTTATGTGATATGAAAGATTTGGGTGGTATAAATGTAAAAAGTTACATATGTAAATACATAGGAATTCTGAAGTACACATGTAAATGTCTCTAAAAAAAATATGTCACAGCTTCATCTGCTCGACATGGGAAAATGAGTGCCACGAATTCATATGTTTAATATGAAAAAGAAAACATCATGGATTGCAACCGACCAGTTTTAACTTTTAAATGTTTTGTAATTAGTAGTTCTCAATTAAGTTTAGGTAATTTTGGATATAAATGCCCATTGGGGTAATAAACGAAGCAAATTTTCTTGCCACTACTTCTCTATATGATACCCAGAGCAAGGGTAAGGTCATCTTTCCAACACTTGTTTTCTCCTCTTTCATTCATTTTCACATCGTGTCTTTTTTTTTTAATTTCCCTTCCAAAAAATCGACCATAATGAATGATAAAAATCAGAATAAAGAAGATTCCCAGTTGCTACAATTCTCGTATCATTTGAATGGAAGAAACTACCTGAAGTAATCTCAATAATAAAGCATTTCATGAAAGGAAAAAAAAAATCCATCAACTAGTTGATCCTCCATCGCATCTAAAAGAGACAGGTTCTGCGCTTAGGATTAAGCTGGTGTCATGATCATGTCATAGTTATGAAACTTAAAATGCCTAAAATCAGTGAACAATATATATTACTAAGAACCGTAAAAGGTATTTGAGAAACTATAAAACAAACTAAAACGTTAAGAAGCTACACCCAAAAGAGGTAACTTCCTTGTCATTAAATATTTTAATGAAATGAAGATCTGTTAACTAGAGTTAAATTACAATCAAGATATCAAGATGAAATGTAGAGATAGCATACACACTCTCAAACCATTTTAAGAAATAGAAGTGTTTGAGTTTTTTACATAACTCGATAATAAATTCTATCAAATTTGTATTCAGATCCTCGGCAAAGAGGACTTATTAATCTTAAATGAGGCATTCTCACACATACGAACCGAAAAAAGAAAATTGATGAGAATACTTCACACTTTCAAATCCAAAACATTGACTATAAAAAAAACATGCTACCCTCAGATAAATGACTTTTTGGCACTAAGTTTTCCTAAAAGAAGGAAAAGTTCTTCCCCAAAAACATTCCGTGATGAAAAAAAAAAAAAGGCATAACAAAGAAAATATTGAAAAATTCATGAAAAAAAATCTACGGTGAAAGGTTAATAAAAAGGCGAGCTTATCTTATTAAACTAGAAGACAACAACAACAAGCCTTTATTCAACTAAGTGAGGTCAGCTATATGCATCATTTTTCTCCATTGTGTCCTATTGAGTGTCATATTTTCATTTAATTATAATAAATTAAGATTACATTTTATACAATATACTCGGATCATTTTAGGTTCATGTCTATCTTTCTTAACATAAATCGAATATCAAACATCTACTCCTAATTGGATCATTAGATGGTCAACTTTTAATATGACAAAACCATCTAAAAGACGGCTCTCTCCCTATTCTTGCCCGTCACTGGAAATACACCAACCCTTTCACAGATATATTAATTTTGCATTTTGTCTCTACATGTAAAACCACTCATACACCTTAGCGTTCTCATCTCATCAACAATTAACTTAGTTTTATGCTACTCTTTTATAGTCCAACATTTTGCGCCATAAAGCATTGCAGTTCTCCCCACCATCTTATAAAATTTTACTTTAAGTCTAAGTAGTATTTTTATTTCATTACTCCACTTAAAACCATCCAACTTGAATTCTACTAATAAAATCCCCATCCACCATCACTTTGAACAATAGACTTGAATATCTAAAATGCTTACTCCTTTTAATGATTTAATCACCCATTGTTACAACTCTATCACAAGATCTACTATTACTAAACGTATAGTCCCTATATTCAGTTTTAAATCTACTCAAACGAAAGTTTTTGGACTCAAAAGTAGACCATCATAATTTAAGTTTTTTTCTTGAACTATTTCTCTAGTCTTATCCACATGAGGGATATCATCGGCCAAAAGCATACACCAAGATACATTCTCCTTTAAATGTCCAGTAAGAGCATTCATACTAAAGCAAAAAGATATAGACTTATAGTCAATCATCGATCTAATCCAACTGAAATAGGAAAATACTTCGTCAATCCATTTGTTCGAAGACAAGCAACAACTCAAGTATATATACCTTTAATGACTTGAATGTAAGTCGTATCAACACATTTCTTTTTTAGCTTTCCAAAGAACTTCTCTTAGAATCTTATCGTAAGCTTTTCTAAATATATATTAAAATAATATGTACATCATCGTTATTCTCTTTGTACTTCTCCCTCAAACCTCTCAATACATATATAACCTACATAATAGACTTGCCCGACATGACAAACTGATTATGAGAAATCTTTGTGTCATGTCATAACCTATGTTCAATTACCCTCTTCCATGATTTTAATGAATAACATGTTAACTTAATTCCTCTATCATTTGTACACTCTTGTACATCCCATTTATTCTTAAAATGGGATCAAAATACTCCTCTAATTATGCATCTTTTTAATTTTTAAAATAATATTAACAAGTTTAATAAACAAAGAAATTCTTAAATCTCCTAAATATTTTCACACTTCTATAGAGATATCATTAAGTCATACTAATTTTTCACCCTTGATTTTCTTTAAAGCACTATCAACCTTGTCTTTACTAACGTTATGATAAAAAAAAATTATTATTATTGACAATATTAAGAACACTAATGTCGATCGTATTTTCAAAATTTTATTGAAAAATTTATCAAAATATCTCATCTACCTATGTTGAATATCTTCATATAAGAAAAAGTACTTTTTGAATTTTCATCTTTCATGCACTTTGCTTAAATTAAATCTTTACTTCTTTTCTCTTTTTTATTTGTTTGTTTATACATATATATATATATATATTTTATCATCTTTAGTATCTAATTTATTATAATATCATTAAAAATAGAATTTTTAACATCACAAATATTTCTCTTGGACTCCGTACTAGCCACCTTATTATCTTTCTCAATTCTCTAAATTTTTACTTTTAAATCAATTTTTATAAAAAAACTTCTTATATTTTATTTTTCTTGCACAATATTATTCCACCATCAATTATTTTTATTTATAAAATTTTGTTCTTTTGATTCTCCAAGTACATTTTTTGTTATTTATTTTAATAGTACTTGTGATTTTATCCCATATAGAATTAACTTCTTCATGAACTTCTAAAATCTTAAAATCTTGAAGTTTGCTCATAAAAATAATTTTATTTGTCTTTTAAGTACCCTCATCTAATTATATGATAATATTTTATTGTATTTTTTTTCTTCCAACTTTTCATCTTAAAATCCAAATTTTATACTTAATGTTGAGTGCTGATATTAATCCAAATTTAATGTTTCATTGTACTTAATGTTGAGTGCTCATCATAAATCCAAATTATTTTTACTAGGAATGATCCTATAATCTTTGCATTATCGACGATCTCCTTTTTCTCATAAGAAATAATAATTTTTATTTTATTATAAACATTCTTATAAATAATATAATACTCGTTTTTTCTTAAATAAAGTATTAGCGATAATAAAATCAAAAGCAAAGGCAAAATCAAAAGAGCTCATCTTAAAAAAAAAATAACAAGCTAAAGAAATTCCTTGATTATCTCCAAATATTTATAGAGCAATGCTTTTGAGCTTAAAGTGGTACAGAGCTAACTCTTATAGTTTTAATGCCTCAGTAGTTCCTCTAAAGTTTGGATGATAAATTTATGAGCCATTAATCACATGGCAAACCTTGCAATAGTTTTTAAACCTACAAATTTTGTTCATAGTAATAGAAAAACAAAAGCAACCAATAGCCATAATTGCATGTCAAAAAAAATATTCCTACTTTTACATTTAATAACCACTGCTATAGGTCAAAGAGATATTCCAACTTCTACATACACTCTCAACAATGTGCTACATATTTCTAACCTAGTACTAAATCTTCTATTTATTCACAACTCACCAATAATCATAGCTGAGGTGAAAGGTTTTACTAATCATTATTTATTTTACGATCTCACTCCAAGGCAGATGATTGGACAAGCTGCAGAAAAGAACAGATTATACCTACTTAAATACAATAAATGCCTATCATGCTTCCTTAAATTTACATTAAATAAAAACACCAATTGAGACCATCATTATAAAATAGGATATCCCTCCTTCAAAATCATAGTGTATATTTTCTTCTCTATTCATAAAAGTTGATAGTGAAAACTTTTATCACGAAACTTATAAAATTGTTAAACAAGTTTCATTTCTTTAAAGTGAATATAGATCATGTACTAATTTCATAAAAAATCACTCTAATATTTAAAAACTTGAAAATTTTCTAATATTTTTAGAGCTAAAAAATTCGACACATTCATTGATATTGCACTCGAACTATATAGATAATTATCAAATAAAACTATGACATCACTCA